AAAATAAAACTATTTTTAAGATTAATCAATCAATTGTGTAGTCCAAAAAAGTGTCTAAAATCCCCTTTAAATGTCTCTCTTTATCCGAGTCGAAAAACTCAAAGATTTTTACATTTACAATGATAAATTATAGGATTGCAACTGTCAAAACAAAAAATAAAAAATTAGTAAATAAATACATAAATAAATTGCTATTTCAGTTTTAACTTGCATCTGTTTTTATTTACTTTTGTATTAATTTATTGACTTTCCCATTTAGTTTTTACTTTTATTAAATTATTCCTTTTAAAATATATCTATTTTTGTATTATTTTCCCTTTGCATTTCCCCCCTATTCATTTTCCCACTTATTTATTTCTGTGTTTTCATTTTACATTTCTATATGAATTTGTGCTTCTATATGTAAATGAGGGGGCTGTCATTCAAAGTGTCATGCTAACTTTTCTCTTATTGGTTGATCAACATCAGAATGCAGTGGTCGACTTTACATTATTTGCTCCTGCACCGAGACACTGTCGTACTGAGGTGATTTAATGTTTGGTGTAGATCATATTTTATGGAAAAAATATGGAGTGGACAGCGGAGCTGTTGTAATGTTAAATTATTTTTTTTATTTTAATTTTAATATTTTTATTATCATTTTGGTGCATATAATGGCATAGATATACATTTTTTTTATGAGTCATTCACTAACTAACTACTGGGATTTTCTTAGCTGTCAGTATCTAATGAAAGTATAGCTCTCTATGTATCGTACTTGTTATGAACAAATTACGTCAGTAGGAACACAGACAGACTCCAGCTGCATCTTCTCAACAGTGCTGCATGACCCCTCATATTCTGCTGTTGTTGATGTTTGTCAGTCACAGCTAATATGCAATGCTGGAAACACACTTTTTGCATCTTGTGTGACTGACCACCGTGTTTAACCCTATCAGCAGGCAGAAGGTAGATACTGGAAGATTCTGCCAAACCTTGGATTTTTATACAATAATGTTTTACCATTCAGTTCCAACCCTTTAAAATTATTTTCTTTCTACAATCTGTTTCATGGCAATAGGCTATGGTTATAGTTAGAAAAAAGATTGGTTATTATAAATAAGCTATGGTTAACGTTAGGCAACTAAAACAAGTTCCTGAAGTTTTTTCTCACTGAAGAATATACAGAGATTACATAATTAAATATGCAGCACTGCCTTTTCCTGTCATCACATTCTCTGCCTTCTCTTTTTATCTCTTCCTTCTTGTTGAAATTTTTTTCTTCTTCCCTTCCTCTGTCCTCTCCCTCCGTCTCTGCCAAACATGGCATCTCTTTTCCTGCTTCTTCTCTTCCTTCTCCTGCGGCTCCTGCAGACTGATGTTCTTTCCCATCACCTCCAGAGGAACCTTATTTACCTGGACAGCCAGGTGAGGACTTCTGAGCTCACTTCTGTCCGTCTGCATCAGTAGCTACTACTGAGTAGCTACTACTACTGAGTCCAAAATTTTCTGATTGAACATTTCTGATTCTGTCTCTGTCTCTTTTTCTTCTATTTTTCTTTACCTCTGCCTGTTTATTCAGAATCCTCTAATCTAAACAAACTAATGCTGACATTTCAATTTGCTACTCCTGAGCCTTAACACAGCAAGTTTAGTTCTTTTAGTTGTAAGATACTTTTTTAAGTCCTATATATAAAGTTATTATGTATATTCTTTACATATCCAGTTATGATAAAGGGCCATACTGGTGTTTTTTTGGGTGGGGGTATTTCAGCCTCTTTATTACATTGCTGCTGAGAACCTTCCATTGCATACCATGCTTTTTTAGAGAAGCTAACCTGCAGGTACTTTTGGTTTCATTTGAGTACAGTATGCCGTGAAAATCAACGTGCAGAAACTTGAATTTGCTTGCAGATCACAGATTGTGTTCATTTTTATTTATCAAAGAAATGTGACTGAATCTTTTTAATGAATTGTTGCATTCATGCTGATAAGAAGATATGACATTGTTAGTCTGCTAATTGTCAGCAATGAAAATATTTAGTGTTAAAGAAATAAGTGTGGTTACCTTCAGAGCTGCCCCCTAAACGTAATTTAATTCAGTGCTGAGTGTTAGCAAAGACAGCTAACCATTTTTCAACCAACCGACTCTTTGGCTGACTGCACTGTCAGGAGAGACCCTCTGTAGTGTACTTTGTATGGTTTTGTTCTGTTTTTTTACTTTTTAACCCATTGTGAATACAATTTAAGACCTATTTCATGTCCAGAAGTGCAAAGGATATGAAGAAAACATTGTATTGTTTCTATGTAGGTTTGGTTTTGTAGTTGTTACAGTCATCAATACAATTTTTTCCCCACAACAAATTTCAAAAGTGAGGAAAATACAACTTTATATAAGTAACATTAAGACCTGTGAAAATCATATTCAAGACATTTTAAGGCCTAAAATTTTATTGATCCCCTGTAGGAGAAAATAAAAAATTCAAAAATCAATCATTGCTTTTGTTACTATGCAACACTAAGGTACCTCTGTAACAGGTTATCTATTTCAAACAAGCTACACATTTCTGCAAGTTAATGTTCATAGGCACTGAAATTAAATGAAACCTACCTGTCTGGAAGGTAAGAAATCAATAGAGAAACTTTGGCTGTGTTTTGGAATTTCACCAGTAAATGCAAAGCACTGCACCATAGCAAATTAGCTACAATATGCATAAACATTGGTTAGCTCCTTGATGGATGGACGGTTAAATAGCTAACACATCACAACCTCTATATATGCACACTGCTTGGAGCTCCATTAAACATCACTCACAGCCTTATTCGTATGTACCCAAGTGCAGCAACACTCAACCACTCTGATTGTTTGCAAATGTCAGCCTTGTACACTTAAGACAAGAACAGCTCAGACAACAAACTGAGGGAAGTGCCAGGAAGTAAATGTAAATGTCAAAAAGTTTTATTAATATGAAACTAAGATAAGAGCAGCAACTCAGCTCAATATGTTGAAGTTGATTGTGGTGCACAGCCACTGGTAGTTATTTACTTGTGACAAGTATTTGCTGTCTGCCCCTACTCTTACTGACACTAATGTTCAAAATAATATGGATGTTTCTACTAGAATCTACTGCAGAATGCTCAGGCTGCCAGGCTAATTGCAAGAAAAACAGAACCTGTCCACAGTTCACAGAGGCATACCCTGATTATAACAGGCGAATAAATGGGCTGTGTATTTTTGGCCTGTAGGTTAGTATTTGCCTTTCCAAAGTTCCTGCATTATTGAATATGACTGCTCAGCTCTGAAAAGGTCATGTGCTTTAGGGAGAAACTAGCCTTGGACAGGCCGTGTAGGAGGGAGAGGCTAGCAGCTTTGATGCTATTTGAAAAAATAAAAAAGTGGTTTGGTTGCCACAAAAATGAACAAAGATCAAATGAACACTTGAGGAGCTGTTCTTCTTTCTCAAAAGGAGTCAGTTATCTGGGTTCATGTTCATCAAAAGGAGTGGAACAATCAATTCTCTTTTTTGCCTATTTATTCCAAATCACATACAGTATACTGCCATATATCAAACACAACTTCCTGTCAGTCTTTAATTTACATTCATGTCTGTATGTTTGGACAGTCACCTTGCAGATACTTAAAGGGTAACTACTGTTGTATTACATCTTTGGTCTTTTAAATCTGTTATACTACAATACAACACTATAGTCACCAAAATAACAGCTGAACATGGTCATCACTAAAAACAGGTCTGTCATGTCAAGAAACACGAGCAGTCACGTGATCATACAGGTTGTAAACATTTTTGTCCAGATTATTTATCTCTTTATTTGCAAATGAAACCAAAAGTTTCTCTTCTAAATAAATTTGACCAACCTGAGGATTTGTTTGCAACTCATCTGATCATCTGACTGTTGGTGTTTGTTGCCCCATTGGACTTATTTCTAGCAATGCTGCTCCAAGAGCTTAGCAATTACTTCAAAGTGAGGTCTGAACTGCATAACCACTTCTTAAAGATGTTAAGTGGACATAGCTATCGCAAGCATATGTTTTAAGTCTCTGCAAGTCGATATTTATCGTAAAGGTCTTGACTGGTTGAAGATTTTTGTCCCAAATCAACATGGACCTTTTGAAAACCTTTGCAAAATCAACATACATAAATTAAGGGATTTAAAGACATTCTTATGGCAAATCAGCAGTAACCCTACCCAACCTATTTAGACTGAAGATAATCTGGACCTTGGCCAACTTGGTCCTTGGTCTTGTTTCATTTACTAGACACCAAGTGGATTGGTGAAGACCTGTATGTCATCATGAACTAGAATGAACTTAAACCAATCACTGCTTGTATAGAAATATATTTGCTCCATATAAAATATAGGTATTTGTAATACATTAGCTGTTGCACAAACATATGAATGGTCCTCAAATGTATGTTAAAACTTCTGCACTTAAATTAGTGTTGCCTTTCCAAGCTGGCTTCCTCTACTTGCTGCCAGCCACAAAGGTGAATTTCAATGGAAATGTTTGAAAAGCTTATACTTGACCACAGCTGTTTCAGAGAAGGTGGGGTCAGTCATTCTGAAGAAAGATAGTTGATTGTTGAGTCTTATTCCCAGGTTGTCGAATACCGTCACTTTGGGTTATGGTAAATAGGAAACAAACGTGGCTCGGAACAAACCATACAGGTGGTGTTCATGCTCAAAACCCAGGTATTTGACAACCTGGGAATGGGACTCCACAATTATTTTATAAATATTATTTTTTGATATTTTTATCCAGAATGATTGATTCCACCTACAAATCATATTTTTCAAGTTTACAGTCAGGCTTAAGGATAAGGGTTGATCAGCAAGACAGAGAACAGTAGACCGTCCTTTACAGAGTGATGTTTATCCTGGGTTTTCTACTATTTAAAGAGAGGGAGGGTTCCAGCTAATGGATATCCGCCATTAAACAGTGTCTGATCCTTCGAGCAATACTTACTGCTGTATTATTACACCATTGTATCCTCTTTCTCCTTGGTGATCCGCTAGACGAAGGAAAATGAGCCTCTAATCTTCATGATTCACACTATGATCGAGAACTCTGCACCGAGGCCGCAACTCTACCAGCAAGTAAGGTCTTTGGCAGGTTCTGGCTTGAGTCAGTGTCAAGAGAAACCATCTGTCTCTTGACACGTTTGTTGTTGGGTCAAAACCTCATGGCGATCATGGAATTTTTAGTTCAACCATTGTCAAAGGTTTCCACAAGTAAAGTATCATGTTTGTAATCTTATATTATGCTAAAACCTGAAAGCACCAAAATGTGAATTTCGAGGTTTTTGCTCAACATCAAGTACATTTCAGTGTACTTAGATTGAAGAGTTCAGTCTCAAAGGAAAATGTCCAATGTACTTAAATGTAAATCAAAATCATTAATATCAGGAAGCTTGGGGCTTGTTTTTCCCATTTATTGTTTCTAAATGAACTCTTTAATTTTAACTCAACTAAAGTGGACTCAAACCAGACCTTTGCCCTAGGCACCCAGTGGTTGTGTATCCTCGTCTTCCCCTTCACCATCAACCTCTTGTTTTACCACTTTGGATGCAGTCAGTCCGTTCATCAACCAGTTGTTAATCAGGCAACATCCCCAGAAGTCATCACAGCATTATTTAAAGTGTATATGAAGTTGTTTTTGGTCCCAGCGCATCTCATATCATTGTTTTCTGCTTGATGCTGTTGGAAGTGACTTGAAGCGAGCATGGCTTATGGTGTAATGCTACATAGCCATGGATTTCCCCTCTCACTGTCTTTATACAGCACTGTTCATTGTGTAGTATCCCTATGGAAATGCTTACACTATTTGGATGTGTTTGTCTTAAAGGTTCACTTTTTCAAATGTTCTGTGGAGAATAATGCTCCAAATGTTTTCTAATATGGCTCAACATTTTAGAAAATGCACATTAGGCCTTCTTTCTGATAGTGACAGTGAGTCTACACATGGTTAGCCAAGGTTAGCATACAGACTGAAAACAGAGGGAAACAGCTAACTTAAGTTGTAAAATATGGCCTGCAACACATCATATTTGAAACGGTCCACAAACAGAAATATGAAAATGACATTTATTGTTTTTGGGGGAGTTGTGTGCTGTAACTGTTTCTAGATAAAAACTGTTTATTCTATAGTGCAGGTTGCCAGATATGGTGAGTAAGCCCTGGTTTTAGTGCAAGTGTCTGTACTCTGTACTTCCTTCAGTTTTCTCTGAGGTAAACTAGGGGTGCATTCAGTCTGAAACCATTTTGCAGCAGTTTGAAACATTCTCTAGTTGAATAATGTGGTTCCTTTTAACTGTGCTCAGTGCTTTGCAGCAGTTGCAGAAGCTCATGCTTGCTCCAGTTTTATCGCTGTGTCAACCAATATATCCACTGCAAAACTTCAATACAGCAGTGATACCCCAAACTGGTATGACTGAAAGGATTTCAGCTATAATGTATCAAAGAGAGTCACGATCATTCAGGCACCGCTATGATGCACTGAATACATCAGTTTAAAACTGACTATTAAAAATAATGTTTCATAATGTGTCCAGTGAAGTAAAATAAAAAATTTAACCACATCTCATTAAACCTCTTTTGTCATTTCTGCATATAAATAGAAGAGAATTGGACTCCTGTAATAGGGCCCCTGTAATGCATTTATTCATGACTTCTGAATTCTAGAAAACCTTGCAGTGGGTTGAATAGTCTTCAAACAGTGCTTTTTGATAGCCCCACCTCTGGATTCCCTCTGTGTGGCTTTGTACCATCATCTCTCAGCTGTATTTTCTGGCACAGAACATAATAATGTGCGCTGTAAAATTCAGTCGGGGGAATTGTCAGAGGATTTTATCACTTTACTCCAGACCGCCAAAAAACCTGCTTCTGTCTGCTCTCATCTATCACCTCCAGTCTGAGCCAACAGACTTTCTTTTTCTTTTTTTCTTTAGGAGGAAATGGCAGAAGGGCTCATCAGTCGCCCTAGAGTAGTTAATATGTTCATGCTATGTAAGAAAGCTGCTGTTACATAACACTACTGCTTTAAAGACAGTTTTTAGTGGAATGACTCTGTTGTAAAATAGTATAATATTTTCTTACAGCGTCTCTGGTTGCATTTTTTCCACCAAATTAGCTCTGGTTCTTGAACCGGTTCCATTCAACCGTTGAACCTTGTTCTTCAACCAACCCATAAAACAGGAAGAGAGGGTTAGAAATATGGCCTTAATTTCTGTATTAACACACTAACCCTGAAAATGATTCATTTCACAATTCATTGACAGATTGAGATATAGCTGTAACTACAAATCACAAAAATAAAAAAGAATGTCTTGTCTTTTTTTTAAAATGATATAATAACACATTGTCACATGTTAATCAAAATATGAATTTAATGATTTTTTCTAAAAAAGGAGGAGGAGCAGTTTTTCACAGGGCAGCTTCTATGTGACCTTAGAGACAAAACACAGGGCAAAGAATTCACCATGCTCTCGTAGCTTAAAGTCAAGTCAAGTCAAGTCAAGTCAACTTTATTGTCAAGTATGCTATATATGCACGACATACAGCATAGATGAAAAATAAAATTTTCTATGTAATAGAAAAAGACATAAAATAAACAATAAACAAGACATTAGTTAACAATCAACAAAGATCAATAAAGATCCCCTCCAGACATGTATTAAGACATGTATACAAATAGTTTGCTTGGAACAATAATGTGTGTCTGATACGTGTTTTTTCTTTTCTGCAAAAAAAAGTATAATATCCACATTAAAATCCTTTCAGTCATCTACTTATTCTACCTTCTAGTGTCAAACAACAAGAAGGAACACTGATTTTTAACTGGAGGGGTGCTTTAATATTGAGGGCAATGATGGTGAGCTTTTTGTTTCTGTCGGAGAACTGTGTTTACAGAGGTTTTAGTGAGTAAATCAGACTAAAACTTTGAAAGCAGAGGGGACATGACCTCTTAGTCAGTGGAAAATTACACTTTGATTAATATATATAATAATAGTTTGGGGCTTAATTTGATATTAGCGAGCATCTGCCCTCTGAGGCTACACCTCCCTCCGTCTGTCTCTGCGTTATAATATTCAGCCACAATATCCTCAGTAACACCTGGGTAAACCGCTTCGAGGGAAATGAAACAGGATTAGTGAATGTGCACGGAGCGCTTATCCCTTCATCCCCTCACTCCCTGCCTCTGGAATGAACAGCAGGAAGCACATGAAGAGTCTCTCTAAAATCTGTAACATTTGGGAGAAATGACTTAATAAAACACAATTTACATCACAAATATAATTCAATTGTGGTATTCTCAGAAAGATATCGCATTAGGCATCTCATTGGTTGACCTTCAGTTTGACAGACTGCATCCTCTATGCATGGAAAAGTAAAAAAAAAAAAGAAAAAAAAAAGGTCATTCTTTTCCCCATCAAATTGCATAAAGTTGCATTTTTGATTTTTGAAGAGAACTCTTCATAGCTGGAGCTCTGGGCTCTCCATTCTAACAGATGTGTCGTTGTCGCCCCCTGCTGTCCGTCTCTGACTGTGCCTCCTCTTTCCAGATCAGCCCAGACGACTACAAAGACGGCTCCTTTGTCCAGCGCACAGAGGAGGCCGACATAGACGTAAGACGAGCACAGCTTGTAGTTGAGATGGATAATACATTTCAAAGAAAGTTTAGTTCATGTTTGTGTGTTTGTGTGTCAGACCAAGCTGAGCAGGCTATGTGAGCAGGACAAGGCGGTGAGGATGCAGGAGGAGAAACTGCAGCAGCTACACAGAGAGAAGGTACATCTGGCATGGTGTGTCATGTCATGTTTGTGTCTTTGTGTGTAGACTCTTATGTACAATAAGTATCTGTATCTGTGTGTGTGTGTGTGTGTGGTAGCACACGCTGGAGACAGCCCTGCTGTCCGCCAGTCAGGAGCTGAGTGAACAGAGCGGCTCCAACGCTGCGGCTGTACAGAGCCTGGTCCAGCAGAGAGACGTGCTGCAGAACGGCCTGCTTAGCACCTGCAGAGAGCTGTCCAGAGTCAGCACTGTGAGCATACCCCGACACACACACACTCACACGCACACCAATACATGCTTCCACTCTGGAACCTATTTCTTGCAGCCTTTTGTCTAGAAATTGGTAATATAAATGCTTTATTTGAATGCAAGTAGACCAAAAACTGCAGCTGGGACTGTATGTATCAAGCATCCCAGGGAAGGAAATCAATTATATCTGTTCCTCCTTATTTTGTGTTTATTTATCAGGCACAATGTACCAGATAAAGCTAAAAGCTCATTTCCATCTGTAGTCCCTGGGAGGAGGCTGCTAGTGATGTGCAGGTTACAGAGATAGGTGTACGAGTAAAAGCATATCATTACCTTTCTTAGAGGCTCTGTTGTCAGAAATGGAATATAATATTTAGAAGTATGTTTTTATTAGTGTATAATCACCCCACGAGCAGGGCCAGCAGCCCGAGGCTAAAGTCGATGTTCAAATGTGCCATGATTGTGTGGAAGCTTTCTTAGCCCAGGGCTAAGAAGGTCCTAAGAATGATTTTATCCCTGGGCTAATTGCAGTGTGAAAATCCCTTACATTTGAGCTATAATCAGCTAATGGTATTTTTTAGAAAGATGAGTAACTGACAAATGACAAACTCATCTGCAAGTTTTTCCTGCATCAGCCTGAGACATGAAGCCTCTTCTTTAAGTCTGGTTCTATTTTTAAGATGATGAAAGGCAGTTCTTGTTATGTTGGTGACATGGCTTTGGAAATTTACGGACAATATCAAGGATAACACCCTCTCAAGCTGCAGGTGGGTGTGGGAAATCTAGCTGTTGTCTCTGATGTGCAGAGAAAAACCCAAATAATTTCAGGTAATTTAGAAATGAGAATAAGCCAGGTTGCAAGGATTTTTTGGGAAGCAGTTGGAAAACATTTTGGGCACATTCATGCACACACAAATCAAGGGCACCCACACACACACGCACACACACACAGTCCCATGATCCTTCTGTTGGCTGCTGTCCTGGTTTCAGGAGTTGGAGCGCTCCTGGAGGGAGTATGACAGGTTGGGGGCGGATGTCACTCTGGCCAAGTCCAACCTGCTGGAGCAGCTGGAGGCCCTGGGCAGCCCACAGGTAACACATACATACACACTCACACTCAAACACACTTTGTGGGGTGATCTAGCTTGTAACAGCATTTATGTGCGTGTGTGTGTCCTCAGACAGAGCCTCCAAGCCAGCGACACATCCAGATCCAGAAGGAGCTGTGGAGGATCCAGGACGTGATGGAGGCTCTGGCCAAAAACAAACCACAGCGGAGCACAGACAGCAGTGAGAGTCTCATTCTCCCATTAAGTTAATCTGATGTGATTTACACTGAGGGGGGTGGTTCCTTAACTATTCCCATACTATGCTAAGACATTATGGAGAATGAAAAAATAATTTCTCGGAACAACGTGTATTTATGTAATGGATCTGAAGTAAAAGGAAAAATGGTTTGAGTGCTGACTACAAATGCTTTTTCAGTAGTCCCATTCCTCTTCTCTTCATATTCTCTATGTTCAGCAGGTTTTCCTGCTTCCAAACCGCTCTCCAGTCTACAGAAGAACGAGGTAAGGCGCCTCTAAGGTAAGCCCTCTAGTGGCTGCCTGCTACTAAAGGGCTGCAACCCCTCTCTATACAATTCAGTTCAATTCAATT